AACAGGGTACCCAAAAAGGGACCGGAATCTAGGGAAGTTCCCATAGCCTTCAGCTCCACCTAGCCCCCTGGGGTGACCGCACTGCCACCACAAAAACAGGCAACTCCTCCTCAGTGATGCTGAGATTGTGGTGACGGAGGTCATTTGGGCGGGCATGGTTGGATCAATTGAGGGCTTGTAGGATTCTTGGGGGAGACGGAGGATTGGACTTGTTCTTGGCTTCCCCGCCTCTTTTGAAGCAGGTGGTGCCTTGTACACAGCCCACAACTTCAGAGTTCTTGAGCCCTTTAATAAGGGGACGCCCTGGGTTCCCATTGCCTCGACGCAGAGCCAGTCCTCCAAAGATCCTCCAAGCTCCCTAGTAAACTGGACGAGTAGCTGCGGGTTTGGGGCTCGCGGGTTTTTTGTGCATGGGAGCCAGCCTATAAAACTTAAACCATAAGTATCGGACACCGTTTGCACCTTGTACGGCATATAGTGGATCAGAGCTTCAGTGCTGCAGCGTTGTCTCCGTTCGTCTGATGCGTCTTGAGCTGTGAGGGCTTTGGAGAGGTAGGTCGAGTGACGGGCGCTTGTCTGTGGGTTGTTGAGTTGCGGAGCCGTTAGCCGTTAGCCCTTAAAACAACTCCCTAAATAAACCCTACACCCTTTACCCAGTGTTTTTTTGGGGTTTGGGCCCAGGGCTTCTGAGTTAGGCTGGCACGAGCTGCTATTGCCCTGCAGACGGCATTATGGATATTGAGCCAGCTACCGCCCCATATTCTGTGGAAAACGTTATGCCTGCGGCAGGAGAAAAAGGCAGTGCTAGAAGAACGCCGAAGGCCGGCCGACATGAAATAGTCCCACGAAGAGGTGTGCGTGCCCGAACCCGGATTTCGAAATCCCGAACCAACCCGAATCTCTACAACTCCGAGACGGAACCCTTTTAACCCCAATCACTCCAGGCCTTACTGTAGGACCCTGCACCCTAAACCCTTTTCCCAAAAGCACCAAAGCCCTGCACCATCAGAAAACCCGACTGGCCTGCGGCTGCACAAGCCGCACCAACATCTCAACACAACAGTCTCATCACCCCTCATTTAGGGGGGGGGGGGGTGGGGTGGAGGTTGACTACATCTACATGATGGGTCCATAAACCCGAAATTAGCCCTGAACTTGAAAGAAGAACCCTGTGAAGGGAATCAGTACTGTAAAAGCCCGCACGAAAGCAACCCATCAAATTACAAGAGATGGCGCACCTTTCCGGTGTCCTTGTTACAGTGGTCATCTCTTACATCTGGTGTACCCACCAAATAAAGACACGAATTGGGAGCTAGCCATATCATATTCCCCCGAGATCCTCAAACTTCCCTAAAATAGTGGGATATACGAGTTGGTACCCTTTTGGGGGTTCTTAGGGATCTGTGTTTTTCTCGCGTCTCTAAGAGGGGACAGTATTTTGGGAAACTCCCAACCCTCTCCGAGCCCTAAACCCTACACCCAAATCCCCCAGAACCCCAGGCAGGGGCAAGAGCTTGCCTCAAAGAAGATGGCAATGACCAAGCAGGAGGCCGGGTTCGGGCAGCCCTGTGAGGGCGCTGAGGGGCTCTGCAGGGTTCAGTTTTTTCAAAGCCCTGCGGACCCTGAGATCTGCTACTTTTTATGCTGCAAGGAGGGCGGTTGGGGCTTTGCAGGGTTTGACCTGGGCAGGCCATTTTGTGCAGATGTGGCCGTTGCAAGTGGTTGTGTGCTTTGAGTTTGAGGATCTCTTGCCAACAAGCTTACAGCCGTCCAAGAAGATTGTTCAAGGTTTTCGGGTTGCGACTGTTTTGTTTAGGAATGATCTACTGTAGTGCGTCGGGGCGTAGGGGGGTGGCCGGGTGGGGGCGTTGAAGGTTTTTGTGTAGCTTGCGTGCTGAGTGTTTACTGGTTCAGATAGTTTTGTGCGCATGTGGGTGCCCGACGCCCTAGACCCTGAACCCTTCCTCCACCCCCAGAAAGGAAGAGGATGGCATCGGCGGTGTCAAAGAGCCTCCTGCGGTCGCGTCCTTGGGACCCTGCTCAGGCTTTGAAAAGGCTGAGCTTGAGAGCTTGGGGAGGCAGCTGTGGATTTTGCACCAACATGCAGCAACAAATCCCTTCAAAACCCATGATTAATTTCGATCGACCTCCAGTTGTGTCGCACCAATGTTTACGGTCTTCAAAGCTATTTAGCACTGTTAGCGTTTTGAGTAGTGCTTGACCGTTCGGTGGAGTCTGGCCTGAACCTTACAGTTGTATCCTCATCCCGACACCTCTAGACAATCGCCGCTTGAAATGCCTGGTATATAGTCAATGGTGCGAAACATCTGCTGGGTTTGTATGGGTAGATTGACGTGCAAGGGCCCGGCACAGCAGACAGCCATTTAAGGGGCAAGAGGTAAGCACGGAAACAACATCCTCGCAAAGAGCCTGGCAGATTGTAATTGTATTTTGCACAATGTCATCGACAGCTAACCCCTAGATTATCTAGAAGCGCGACGCCCTGAACATGAACCCTTAAACCCAATAAATCCCAAACCGCGATCAGCCCCTAAGGTATCCAACAGAGCCCCCTCCCCGCCCCCGCCCCCCCGCCCCCGCCCACGGGAAAAAATCAAAACAAACCCTTAGCACAAATCTCGGAACCACAGTACCCTCAAACTCTACAACCCGAAACCCTGAACCCTGAACCCTGAACCGCACCCGGAGCCCTAAAGCAGCTGCCAGATCGCGGACCTTCGCCAGCGCATCGAGCGGAAGACGCGGAAGCAAACCAAGCTCAAGGCTTCACCCTTCGCATATCCTATACCCCCTTTGGGAATTATGTTTTTGTTTCTATAAAACCCAAGAGGATATCAAAAATATTTTCTTTATTAAGGTTCTAAGGGGAGCATAGTAATTATCTGGGGCCTTGTACGAATTTTTGGTTTCTACCGGTCCTAATCCCTGTTTGACCCCAAGAACCATACAAGTTCAAGTTTTGAGGGTCCCGTGAGTCCCCCAGTTTAGGGTTGCTTGGGGTGTTTGGGTGCTGCGGCGTATCGAGTCGAGGTTTTGGGGGTGTTGGGGTTTAGAGGCTGAAGGCGCAGCTGACGGGTTTCTATGGACAGGGGGAAGTATGCGGGTACGGGTGAACGTATCTCAGCCCCGCTTCTAAGACCCCAAGAGGATAGCAACACAAGATCCAGCGTGTCTCTTTGGGAAGTGGAGTTGAAATCGGACAGAAGAAGCTCCCGACTCCCGCATCGGCTCTCTCCCTGACCCTCTCGGCGGTCGGCTGTCTGTCTCTCTGTGCTCGCTGTCTCAGATCGAGCAATTTGCATCTTGACTACTCTCTGTTTATGTGTGCGAGAGGGTGATCGTGCTTCGCCTCGGTCGCTCTCTGAGTCAAGTTGTGCTTTCCGTCCTGCTTGCTTTTCTTCGGCCTTTGTTGTAGTGAGCATCGATGCAAACCTGGTTTTGGTCGACCCTCGCTTTCTTTTGATTGTGGCGTGTACTGTATGTGGTCAGCTCAGCCGGGTCCATGCTCCGGCTTTTGCAGGTGGAGCACGACCAAGTGCAGGTTCGATTGAAGTCGCTGGAGCAGGCCGCTGTTTGGGCCTGTTTGGCCTTTGAGGTTCAACTTCAACCTGTTCTCAAGTTCTCTATACATGCTCCTGCAGTTCGTCAGTTTGGAGAACCATGATACCTGCCAAAATGAGGCGCTGCAACTAGCCGACACGCAACCCATATTCCCAAACACAGGACTGCAGCGCAAGGCCAACGGGGTTTCGGGGTTACCAAAATGAAATCACCCTCGCCCGACCTACAAGCACATGTCCAAGCACCCAAAAACCCTAAGTTTAAACTCAAGCCAGTAGCTTCCAAGGTATTGGAAGTTGTCGAGCGCGGTCAGCGCCCCGACAAGGCTGCGCGCCCTGAAAACCCAAAAACCCGATGTCCCTACTCCCAAAAGCTGATCCGCAGAGCCTGAGCAACCCTACCAAGCCCGAAGCCGCGGACTCCAAGCCCAAAACCCCAAGCTTGTTTGGCTCACCGTGAGCTCTGTTGCTCGAGTCTCAACAAAGAGGCTAAACTAATGAACAACCTTAGTACTACTACATCAAGCGCATGGCGCATCATGCCATGCAATAGTTCTGCTGCTAGTGCATGGTCACCATTGTCTTGCAAGATTACAATACATAAGAGCCACAGGCAGAATGGCACAAGTGCAAGAAGCCAAGGCAAACCCTGAACCCCACGCCCCAAACCCATATGCCGCGAACCCTAAACCCCAAACCCTAAACCCTAAGCCTCTTGTGGGGTTCATAAGGGCTTCTTGGGGCAGGTCCATGCCCTGGACCCTGTGGCCATGGAGATGCTTGAGGAGGATTGCGAACCTCTCTCTGGTTTGGGCTTTACGATTTAGGATTTAAGCGTTTAGGGTTTTAGGGTTTTAGGGTTTTAGGGTTTTAGGGTTTTAGGGTTTAGGGTTTTAGGGTTTAGGGTTTTAGGGTTTAGGGTTTAGGGTTTAGGGTTTTCGGGTTTAGGGTTTTAGGGTTTAGGGTTTAGGGTTTAGGGTTTCTCCATGGTTTGGGTTTTGGGGCTTTCAAGTTTCGGGTTTAGGCTAACTTCGTATTGGGTTTTGTGTTTTCGGGTGCTGTTCTGAAACTAGGGTGCCCGAATAGATGCCTGGTTTGCAAAAGAACTTGTTTTGAAAGGGTCTCATCAAATTGCGCTACTTGTACTTTTTTTGTCTGAGTGGTGAAGGAGGGAGAGACATGCCTCGTTCTCGTTCAGAAAGATTGACAAGCGGCCCGTATGTCAGATGCCTTGGCATGGCTTTATCTTGACTTCCCTCCCCACCCCCACCCACCCCCCCCCCCACCCCACCCACCCCCCCGTCACCCCTCTCGAAAAACGAAGCCATGGGCCGTGGGGCCTGATGTTGCCTGCCGTCTTTGGCTCCTGGCAGCCTGCCCCCCCAGAATCCTGCGAACCGCACCGCCTTGTCTCTCGCCATGGCCTTGCCCATGAAGACGGCGATGAAGGTCATGAAGGCAAGGGCAAGCCCCATGAAGGCCAAGGCCATGAAGGGAATGAAGGCGGGCCGAATGCTCTGTTGAACCAGTGCAGAACTGCAAGTAATTACAGTGGACTTCATGGACCCGAAACTTCCTAAAGCCTATAGTCGGTAAACTCGGTAAACCCCATTTAAGTCGTTTCGTCAGCATCAACTCAGAAGCCAACCATGTGCCTGCAGTTGCGCGGCACACCTCGTGGAGCTTTGCCTCAGGCGATGAAGAAGAAGGCCATTAGCAAGATCGCCCGCGGGAAGCTGGCAAAGATGGTCGTCTTCAAGGGTCGCAAGGATACTGGCATCCAACTCTCAACTACAAGCCCTGAACCCAACCTATAGCTGTACACGGTTTATGAGTCCTCCCAGAGGCCAACTTTGAGGTACGCTTCGGCCTTGACTTGGGGTCCTAGAAGCCTCCATGTCTCATGCGTTGTTTGCCCTGGCATCGTCAACGGCGTAAAAGCCTGCAAGGACAAGACCTCCACCGGCCTCCAGAAGGGCGACTTGATGAAGAACAAGAACGGAAAGGTGGTGACCAAGAAGCAGCACGCCAAAGGCAAAGCGCTGTTCAAGCAGTTTGCACAGCGTTGGCTCGATGCATGCATGACAGCTAGGAAGGAGTTGGGCCTAAAGGGCTTCTGCGCAGTGGGTGGCAAGACCACTCAGGGCAAGGCGCTGTACGCGAAGGCCAAAGCGATTTACGCTGCGGCTTGAGCATTTGAGCGAGGAGGACCCGCCTGCTTTCGTGGTAGTTCATGGAGCAGAGGTTCTTCATGCAGACTGTAGCCGCTGAGTGTGTACAGCCGATTTTGTGGCTAGAAGCTTTGAGCTTTTCTGAGAGCTCAGCATCTGAAAACGTCTTTTGGCTCCCTTGACTTCTGGCGAGTCGATGCTCGGAAAGCTACATACAATTTGGTTGCTTGCTGTCATCATCACAGCTCAACAGTTGCCCCCCCAAACCTGAAGCCTCTGCAACCAAGAGTTCGGTACGACGCGTAAGCCGAGGAGTTGATAGCTTAGGGCGAAGCTGAAGATCCGCACTATAAAGTCAGGGTGAAGCTGGAGAGAGGGAGAGAGACAGAGAGGTATGTACATATGTGCTATACAGATATCCCTAAGAATCCTGCCTCCCCGTTCTCTTTCTCTCTCTCTCTCTCTTTTTGTTTTTCTCTCTTTGGTTTTGCCAGCTCAATGCCTACTGCGTGTTATCACCTGATATTTAGAGCGCGCGCTCGTGCTGTTGCTGCGCAGCTGTGAACCTCTTGAAAACCGGAGCTAGTAGGCCCTAAGCCCCGGTTTTTAACCGTCAGCCCTGATGCGACGCGAATGGCAGAGCAATAGCCCACGTAGTTAAGATTGGAAGTTGGGTTCAGGCCTTTAGAAGGTTAACTTTTAATGAATGTCATTTTCACTACGGCGTTCTTTGTGTCAACAACTTGAGTTGCACGGGATTCGAAAGAACCAATCATCCCCAGTCAGTGTTGTCCCGTGTTGTTCCTATACGTTGCCTTGTTATTCCTGGCCCCTAAACCCTAAACCCTAAACTCTAAACCCCAAACCCTAAACCCTAAACGTTGCCTTGTGACTCCTGACCCCTAAACCTCAATCCCCGAGAGCAAGAATGTCCCGAGACATGCAGGCCAAAGGCCATGGCCGCGAGAACATGATCGCCGCAAGCTCAGCACATCCTCACTTAGGGTTTAGGGTTCAGGGTTCAGGGGTTAGGGTTTGGGGTTTAGGGGTTTAGGATTTAGGGTGAAGGGTTTGGGGTTTAGGGTTTAGGGTCAACTCCCTCCCAGACCGTCTTGGGGCTGTTGGGGCTGTGCAGGGGGGAGACACGAAACCCTTGAAGCCTGAAACGCCCGACTGCAAACCCCTTGAAGTTCAAACCCACCAAGCCCAAACCCTTAGCCTCTCCCCGGATTCTAAGTAGGTATTCCCCACATAGCATATCACACCATTTTGTAATTTTGGGGTGGGGAGGTTTTATGCGAGGAGGACGGGGGTTAAGTTCTGGGCCCTTCGACCTGCACCTGAGGCACCCTACCTGGAGGATCTGAAGCGCGAGCACGGGCCCATTTCCCAGGACCTCAACAGCCATGGCAGTCGACAGTCTGATTCCAACGATAGCAGTCTTATGAATTATGTACTTAGATTCATGTGGGGTTCTGGTTATAAGCCCCCCCCAAACAGCTTTGTAACGGAATGGGTGGGTACGGTCCGGGACCCGCAGTTTGGCTGGCTCTCTCTTGGTCTCTCTGTCTGTGCCCTCGGTGCTTCTCCTCTTCCAGAGTGGAACTGTTAGTTTTATCGTTCGGAATTCTGAAGCAGGCTTCTCGCCCGCATAGCCTCGCAGGGTCCATAGAGGCTGGCGGACTTCAAGGTGAGAGGGGTTCACCAAAGACATCCCAAAATCTTCCGTTTCGGCTGGTTTCCTGAGTCCTGAGAGTCATGCCAAGGCTCTACAATCATACGAGAATCTGCCAAAACAAGCACTGGCTGGGGGCCGTTGTTACTGTACAGCCCCGGAGCATTTGGGGTTTCAGGGGCATGTGCCAATTGACCATTTCAGACTGTAGGTCTTGTAGGGCGGAGTAGCTTTAGGATCTCGCGTTTCGGGACCCACCATGGGCCATCAGAAAGATGCAAGTCCCAACTGCCAGCTTTACCCCCTGAAGCCCTGAACCTTTAAGCCCCGAAGCTCCCCAAACCCTAAACCCCCTTAAGCCCCGACAATGGAAGATCCGAACTCCCCAGTCCCTGAAAGGTGGCCTGGGTTTGGGAATCAGAGCTTACGAAACCCGAAACCCTAATCCCGAAACCCTAAACTTACCACCGGCAGTGCCCCAGGCTCTCGACACCCAGGCCGATCGAGATGCCCGAGGAGCTCGTGGCCCCGTGCCCGGCTGTTTGGTTTCGAGGGCCTAGGGCCCCATCCCGAGTAGCCTTGATCAAGGAATTGGCTGCCCCTAAGCCGCATCTTCGAGCCTTCTTGCTGATCGGCTTAGGGGGACGTAAGCCTTGTGTTCTAGGGTTTTTGAAGTGTTGTCGGGTCAGGGCTGAGTGCATTGCCCTACTCTGACGAGGGCGATGCCGCTTCGGCAAAGGCTTTGGGGTGCAAAGATCAGGTGCCCCCCCCTCCCCCCCCAAACACACAGACACCGACACAGGCACAGGCACAGACACAGACAGGCTTTGGTTTGATTTTTGTTCCGTCTTCAGGGGTTAGAGTTTTGGATATTCCTGGTTTCTTGGCTCATAGGTTGCGGGCTTTTGGAATGTTGTCGCCCCTCAGAGCTCAGGGCTTTGAACTTGGGGATCCCCTGTTTTCCCTTCAGGCCGAGCGTGATGCCCTGGAGCAGCAGATTGCGGAGGCTCCTGCTGTCCTGGCGGTACACAGTGCTTCCCCTCCCTCTTCAGCCCTTTAAGTCCTATTCACCCAAGCTTGACAGCTCATCAGGTCGAGGCAGAGATCGCCAAGATCGAGACCTTCCGGCTGGAGCAGGAGGCCGGGGTTTAGGGTTCAGGCAGGGTTCAGGGCTTGGGGTTTAGGGTTTAGGGTTTAGGGTTTAGGGTTTAGGGGGTGCCTGCCCCACCTGAAGAAGTGCAACACCCTTTCAAGCCCCAAGGCGCAACCCCAAACGGGGTCCAGCGCCGGCAAACGGCTGGACAGGTTCTGCAGGATCAAGGGCAGCCAGGTTGGAGCCCCCTGAAGAGCTATAATGTTCACTTCAGAATAGGAAATCTCCCCCCACACCATGGTTGCAGGCAGGGGGCTGCGTAATTAGACACTTGTGGACTCTCCATGTGCGGCCAGAGTCTGAGCTGGTATACAGGAAGCCAGCAGCCAGCAACACCAGCAACAAAGGAAGCAGCTGCTTTTCCAACCACCTCGGCCCGAAATGATGGGGTTTCCCGATTACATTATGCAGTTTGGAACGTGCGAATTCCGGCGCGGAAGCCGCGGGGGGGGGGGGGGGGGGGGGGGGTCCTATATTTAAATATATTACTTCAGATTACACACTCCTATTTTGGTTTGCAGCGATGCGTATGTGAATTGTTTCTCCTCTTGCGCCTTCGCTTCTGACCGTTGCTCCCTGCATCGCCACAGTGCAGGGACAGCGAAAAGCTGCAGCGGTGACGCTGGAAGGTATCGAGTCAGAGGCTGAACGAAGTGCCGCCGGCATGTTGAGGGTTTAGGGTTTTCGGGTTTTTGGGTTTTGGGTTTTGGGTGAGACTTTGCCAAGGAGTACGGGCATGGGCCATGCATACCCAGCGGTGCACGAGATTCACCAACAGGGAATTCACCGCGAGACGAGTGCATGAAACTACCGTAGGTCTTGTTATGCAAGTGAAGGCGAACTGGGAGAAGCGCATTGCATAGATATCTAGCATAAACACTCATGTAGAAACACCTTCCCAGCAAAAGGATCTCCAAGGAGCTACTGTCTTGCGGCAATTGAGCAATTGGACAACAACAGATAGCTACGCTGGGAGGGGAGGAGCCTGAGCAGCATTAAGCAGCTGCTTTAAGCGCACTAGCGCGAGCTGTTTGTGGTGGACACAAAACGCATCTGGCGCTCAGCCGTAAGCCTTGACCCATGAGCCGTAAACCCTCCAGTCACCCCAAACCCAAGCCTTAGCATGGGAGTTCACGAAAGTAAGGGACCCCTACTAATATAGATCCCCAAATAGTAGGATTTCCCTTATAAACAAGACCCCCAATAACTGGGTTTTGGAGTACTATGCTTTAATACTTGTTTGGCTCTGTGCCCCTAAATTCCTATTATAGCAACTTATACCTAAAAAGTATATACTTCTTTTCCCGGGGTCTACTCCAAAGTAGGGAGAAGGTACCCCGATGTTCGGGAACCACCCACATCAGGACTGGCGTCCTTCTGTGCCAAAAGGCGGCGGTCCTACCTCGGCATTCTGCAGGCTCCTGGGGCTGGGCAAGTTGACCTTGCCAGGGAGGGTTTAGGGTTTAGGGTTTAGGGTTTAGGGTTTAGGGTTTAGGGTTTAGGGTTTAGGGTTTGGGGTGTAGGGTTTACGGCTTCGGGTTTAGGGTTCAAGGTACGGGTTTGGGGGGGGGGGGGGGGGGGGGGTTATAGGGAGTGGGTCACGCTGTTGTAGGGCGCACGGGCCCATCGGCCCCCCCAAGTACCCAGGGGCATTTGGAAATATTTTGTGATTTTTGAGCACTTGAAATCCTAAGAAACAGCTCAATTTACAGGGTTCCAAAATCAGTATAAAGTGCCCGATAAGATAATACCCCAATTGTGCCGCCTTATGAGCCCATCTTGTTATGGGGATGCGGGGGCATGGCGGGGGAGGGGGGGGGGGTGGGCAGGTGCGGCGCACAACCTCGATCGCTTGGGGCCCTTCCTCCCAGAAACCTAGGGTTTAGGGTTTGGGGTTTAGGGTTAGGGTTTGGGGGTTTAGGGTTTACGGTGGGGTTTATGGGGTGTGGGGTTTAGGCTTTGGGGTTTGTTTGTTTTTTTTCAACGTGAACGGTGCAAGGCTTTAGGGATTTAGGGGTTGGGGTGTCGCTTCACCCGGCAGCATCCCCCATGCCTGTCTAGACTGTTCCAATGCTTGTGCAACCACGAACTTTCCAGGTGGAGCCGCCGGTCGCTGGCACCATGCCGGACTTCGATGTGGAGAGGGTGGCTTAAGCCAGCTTGCAGCCTTTTAGGGTCGAGGGTTTGGGGTTT